AGAAAAAGAGTAGGTAGGTTATCGTCAGAGTCTTTCTTCCTTTGAGTGGTCCATTATATTTGCCCTTGCGAAACAGCGGGTACGTTTGCTATGTGCTTACTGAGTCGCAATAACTTCTGCAGCTTCTCAAAAAAAAAATAGAATTTTGCAATGCGCAGTGCTGGACGCTCTGCAAAATCTTGCGAAAAAAAAAAGCTTTGCAAAATTCTATCTGCTTCTTGCTTGCTCTCATCCGGCCAATATATCGTCGAAGTAAAAATCTGCAAAGAGCAGATGGTTTTTTAGAACAATAACTCAAGGTTCCTCTCACTGTTTTATCAGTCATAAAATCGTTTCTGAGTTGCACTAAAATATGTCCAAAACGTAGAACCTTCTCAAATCTTGAATTTCCAGGATAGCTAGACACATTGATGATTGACTCAACAGCTAAAATACATGAAACACATTGCTTAATTTGCATTTGAGTAAATCTGACAATATGGCAGTGCGAAATGATGTATGCCTGCTGGGTGAAACACTACCTACTCTGTGTTTCCGCAAAATCCGAAGTGATGCGTCGCCACTAATTAGCTCACCGATCGAAAATAAAAGATTTTTTGCAAGAAGCAAATCAGATAAGGTGACATCAAAAAGTATATCGCAGCACCATTACTGATAAAAAAGTCAAAATTATTTAGCTAGCTTCTGCACGAATTTGGGCTGATTTATGCAAAATCTACAAAAAGGCGATTCCGCATTTCCTGTGGCTGATACCTTAGATGGAGGGCACACCTTCAGCACAGTGTTATACGTAAAGACTAAGAAGGATGTGGAGCGGGGTGGGCTGCTGATTAAATGGTCTAATCTCGACGCGTATCTGAATCATGAAAATGTGAAGCAATATTTCACACTTGGCGTCATTTAGCCCATACTGCTCTCTCATGTTAATTTTTGTCTTTGTTTACCCAAAAAAACTTTCATCTTCCCTTTTTAACGTATTTCAGCTAGTAATTTTTCTAACTCAAATTAATTTCATTGTTTTCTTTCATGCGTTCGATGTCGAGTGAGGGAAAAAGCGCAGAGGCGTTTTCGTCAGCGAAAATGAGCGCCACTGGAATACTGTTGAATGGGGTTACTTCCCACTACGAAATGAAATATTACACACATGTGCACGTGCACATAAATGCACGCAAATAAAAAAAATTTTACTTAAAAATTAGGGTCGGAGTAAGAATGATACGTGTGTACTGGGAAATAGCGCTGTTGTCTTGCCGCTGATTAGAGTATTCAATTTTGCCCCTAAGACAACCGGTCCCTAAACGGTTCGTTCATTCATTTCGATGGCAAATTTGCATATGTCAGGAAATGGCCCCGAGTGACTGCACCTCTCGTTGGCAAAAATAGGGAGAGGTTTTGACTTCTGATTTAAGAAAGCGTCTTCTATCAAAAACCCTTTACATTACAAGAGCGGGTTTTATAATTTGAAAAAAAAATAGGTGTGTGGAGAAAAACTAACGCTAAATTATGCCTTGTTCGTCCGAGTAATTTTTTTTTTTTGTGGAATTACCAGATAATTCTGGGAAATGAGTTTATGCTGCTTTTAGAGCTGCTGTGTTTCGTTCCGTCAGCTAAACTACAGAAGGAGAGTGCGGTTGATGAAGTTTAAGCTGGTAGTAATGGTTACAATTAGTAATTTACAATTACGAAAGCTTTCGCTTATGAGGCACGTAGTATGTAATGCAAAAACTCTAAACAGAATAAAGTGAAAATTACAGAAACAGAGAACCCGGCACCTTTTTCCTGTTGCCAGTGTCATTCGGTATATCAGCTAATCTGACTATCATTGCCGCCAAAAGTTTCGAAACGGTGTTTGAATCCAGTCAGAGAATTAGATAAAAGAAATTACAGAAACAAATTTTACGTGGTAGCAAAAGAAAAAGGATGCGGCCAAAATATTTAACAAACGAAAAAAAGTACAGTTTTTGAAGCAGTGTGCTAAAAGTACCGCGTAAGTCACAACTGGAAACAATTTTCCAAATCAAAAATTTTTATTGAAATTTCCACGCAGCATGCGTAGGAAAGCAGCACGAAATTGACGATTAGCCAATGCATAAGCGAATGGATTGCCACTTGAATTAA